AAAAGGGATGAACGCTCCAAAATCATAGCACTTCAGATAATTATTCCGCCTTCCCTTCTTTAATCAATCTGAAGATACGTGAATCAGTAATTTATTATTTTAAGTTTGGACAAGGATAGTTTTTTTCGTACTTGAAAACTATTTCTGAGAACGATATCCAGGGTTTATGTAAAAATAACTACGATTTATAAATACTTTAAATTGACCGAGTAGAAGTTCTATAATAGTGATACGCTCCTATAAGTTTGATTTGTAACAAGTATCCTGGAAATTTGAGTGCGCAGTACACGAGTCATGTCACATTTGTTACGTTGATTATCAATATTCGAGTTGATGAACAATATTTCCACAACGTTTTTATTCACTAACAAACGCAGAAATGAATGAACAATTACGGAATGTGAAAATTTATTCACAACAGTATTAAGCCCACCCCGCTTGCACACAATGACGACATTTCGGCAGCTGAAGATTATACAGCAGTGTTTAAAATTGGACTACTGAGTACTGGTAAGCAGCATTTCAGTATGAACAATCGGGCCAGTAGGGTCACTCCGGTAACGCCGCCGACGAATGTAATCGTTCGTCATTGAAGAATGAAATGCGCCTAAGTATATACTAAGGACTATGAATGGTATGTAATCAACAAGACAGTTTAATACCTCCAAGAGACCACTTCTGCCTTTCATTCAAAAGTCAAAACAGACGAGTGAAACAAATTTTTCATGTAACAGTCAAATTTGAATGGTTAAAGGCTATCCGATAATCTTCTATTAGGACGGCAACACTATGAATAGAATAGCTATTCATTTTATTATTTATCTAAGCATTACATCTATTTCTCTAAATTGAATAGTGAAAACATCTGTGTTTTAATCGCACACTTGAGTCTTTCTGATGTTGCTCGTCTGGTACATGAATAAATATCAGTCTTAAGAGTACCACGCACTTGAATCAAACAAAATATTATGTATACACATACATACATACATACATACACATACATATATATACACACAAATCATAACATTTATTGTTTCACAGTATGCATCTTAAATAAATATAGTCTATAAAAGTGAATATCGGTTCATTCCTTCAGAGATACTGAGTAGTCTTCAAAATATTCTGCAAAGTAGCATCGCGTCCACGTTGCATACCAGATCCAATCTCGGCATAATTGTATTAAGATTTCGGTCGTGCTATAGCATAAATACTTATACGTATTTATGCAATGCAAGTTTTTAAGTTTATAGTTGTTATAAAGTAGACGTGTAGAGCGCTTGTAGAGAACTATGACCTTGGAAAAACATGTACGTCTAGTTTATTTCAGATTTAGTAAATTTCACAGCTGTGCCTTCAGAGCACGATTCTAAAAAAATGAACCGAGGAGCATCAAGTCACTCGGACATGAACGATAAACAATACTTAACATGTTGTAGTGGAAAAGACAGAGGTATGATAAATTATTAGATGAAGTTCATATTAGCACTTGTAGCTAGAGAGAAATGTGATCAGAGGCTCCATATGAGAGAATGCAGTAATGAGTTGTGATATTTAGAAAGGTGGAGTAAGTTCAAATAATAATAATAATAATAATAATAATAATAATAATTTATTCTCAAATAACAGTTTGTTACATGAGGCATGCCAGTTTACAGGCAAGATTAAATTGATACAAATGATACAATATACACTGTATTAAATTACATAGCTGGGTTGATAATTTATAAGACATGAAGGTAGATTTGTTCCTCGCGCTAATTTCAAAAGGGCAGTGATTTTTGTACTTGTTGTGATTATACTTGCTTTTGGTACTTATTGCACTAAAAAGCATTCTTGGTCTACTTTAACTAAGAGTTCTTTGGTTAAAGTTTGAAATTTTTTGCTACATTTTGTCCTGGGTACCTGTTTTTAGTCCTTGACTAACACTTGTATTCACATTGTTATCATTTTTTTGTTTTTAAACCTTTTAAATCGAATTACAATGGTTGGTAAGACTCACAAATGTGGGCAACCAAACTGTTTGTTCCCTGTGGAAGAGGGGATGCAGTGTGACGAATGCCATAAGTGGTTCCACAAAATGTGCACCCGCTTAAGTCCAACCGCATACAAAAGATGCTCGAAGCCTAACTCACATTGGCTTTGCATGTTTTGCTGTGCCAACAAGGCATTACTAATACAGGAGGCTATGAGCCTGTTGGCTTTGGCCTGTAAAAAGAAGGATGTCATATGCGCCGACAACACGGGCACTGACAGCGACGAATGTGTCAGTGTAGTACCTGCTGTTACGCGACGCCTCAAACAACCGACTCTGACTGACGTAAAAGTGGAATCTTCGTTGACATTAACAGGAGGAGTAGTCCCAGTGTTATGAGGGATGAAAAATGGAATACGGTACGTAGGAAACGAACCGAAAAGAAAAAAACTGTAAGCAGTACACAGGTAGTTAGTAACTCCCTGGTGGACTCAAATTGTGAGCCACAAATTGCACTACCAAAATCTGAAGGTAAGAGTGAAACCCATCCTGGCATGACTGAGAAGAAAAATCTAATAACATCGAATATTATTGTGAGCAAATTGCGGGAGTCAAACGACCCTGATCCGAAAATTAGACACGCGCATGACTTAGAAAAGCTAGGAGAATACATTCGTAGTATTTTACCAGATAACTCCAAAGAAGTTCAGGTCAAAAATTTGGTAAGAATAGGCAAGAGGACCGAGGACAATGTTGGACCCCGTCCATGCAGACTCCTTAAGGTAATCCTAGGATCGGAGAAGCAACGGGATCTCTTGTTAAGTAGCGCTCGTTGTCACGACAATTCTGACATCCGAGTTAGACCTGACATGTCTCTCGAAGATAGAATAAAAAGGAAGAAAGCACTAGCTGAACTTGAAACCCGTCGGCAAAACGGTGAGGAAAATCTCCGGTTAGTGGGTTTTCGGATAGTCAGGTCTTGGAAGCGAATGCTACCAAGGCCTGTGTGGATAGGCTGTTCTACTTAGGAGTTTTATATGCCAACGCTCGCAGTTTACGAAATAAGTTCTATGAACTAGAAGCACTAGTAGACAGGTTAAGGCCACTCATAGTAGCAGTGACAGAAACTTGGTTAGTCCATGACTTAGACATTACTCCAGAATTATCCGGATACCATTGCATCAGGAGTGATAGACATAGATGTAGGAAAGGAGGCGGCGTCCTGTTATATATAGACAATGGCATAAATATCCGCTCCTTTACTAGCGAATCCTATGATAGCGGCACTTGTGAAGTCATTAGCTGTAAGTTGGCAATAGGATGTAGTACATTTATGCTAGGTGTCATCTATCGGAGCCCAATCTGCTTAGCTGATGACTTTGTTTTAGAGCACATTCATCTTTGGAGTGATAATACCAGGTACTTGATAATAGGAGACTTTAACGCACCTGATATTAGTTGGACTGATATGACGCCAGAAGGATCTATAAACTCCTTTGATAGTAGGTTACTGATAACAATAATGGAGCATGCACTAGTGCAGCATGTATCCCAACCCACACGTTTTGGTGTTAACCAGGGTTCTTCTCTGCTGGATTTGGTAATCACTCATGAGACTGAGGATATTGTCGACTTAAATATTCTTCCACCGTTAGTAAACAGCGATCACGCTGTTTTGTCATTCGCGTTAACAACTAGGGACATGTTATACGATCAGGTTACACCGCGCCCAAATGTATGGAAAGTTAACATATCAGCCATTCAGGAATGCGCTGCTAAGACAGATTGGTTAGTAGATACTAGCATATCAGTTGAAGAAGCATGGTCTGTATTTAAAGGTAAATTTAGACTAGTTACGTCCCCGTTCATACCATACCTGGTACCGCGAAGACCGAATAATAGTCCACCATGGATAACTAAAACGGTCAGGAAACTCCTTAGAAAAAGGAAGAATCACTGGAATATGTTCATCTCTACTGGCTTAGAACAATACAGATCCAGTTATTGTAAGATTAGGAATGCCTGTAAAGCGTTAATAAGCAAGACTAGACTATCATACGAAAAACAATTGGTTAGGGATTCTAGATATAGTCCGAAACGGTTATTCTCGTATATAAAAAGGCGAACTAAGAGAAGCGATGGAATTCCATCACTTTTGATACGAGACAATCCGTTAATCTTAGCAGAGAATGATGCCGAAAAAGCTGAAGCTTTATCGGAATATTTTAGTAAAGTGTTTTCTATCGGTAATGAGGAACGACCAATGATTCATCGTGACCGTGACGGCTCGCTGATGGATCCTGTAGTCATTGAGAAAGATACTGTTTTAAGGCTACTTCAGCATCTCAAACCTGATAAGTCCAGTGGTCCCGATGATATTCATCCTAGGATTATGAAAGCCATATCAGATGAAATTGCCGAACCATTAGCGATACTATTCGACATGTCTCTGAGACAGTCCAGACTTCCTAGAGACTGGAAAGACGCCATAATAAGTCCGGTGTATAAGGCTGGGAGTAGGGATTTAGTTAGTAACTATAGACCCGTTAGCTTAACTAGTGCAGTTGTGAAACTGATGGAGAAAATCATTCGGATAGCTGTTATAAACTATGTTGAAGGGCAAAATTTTTCTCCAGGGCACAACATGGTTTTCGGAAAGGCCTATCTTGTCTGACAAATCTTCTCATTGCACGAGAAGAGTGGGCTGCGGCAAAGGATTGGAATGCTCCTGTGGATGTAATTTTCATAGATCTAAGTAAAGCCTTTGATCAGGTTTCACACTCTGGTCTTAAATTCAAACTGAAACGTTTTGGAATCCATAACACAGTCGTCGATTGGATAAGTAACTTTCTCCATGACAGGAGAAAATGGGTAAGGGTTAATGGGGCTCTCTCCTCGTGGGTACCTGTAAAAAGTGGGGTTCCTCAAGGCACAATTCTAGGTCCTCTTCTTTTTATAATGTACGTTAATGATCTTACAAGTATAGTACAGTCTCCAATGTTATTATACGCTGACGATGTAAAAATTTGGCGAGTAATAACTGGAGACACAGACACATTTACTCTTCAGGCGGACTTAAATAATATGATAAACTGGTCTAAAGAGTGGCTAATGCCTATCAACTCGGAAAAGTGTGTCTACATGCACTTGGGGGATTCAAAGGTTAATACGTACAACATAGGAGATGTGTCATTACCCGTAGTCCGGTCTCATAAGGACCTAGGGGTGACCGTGAGCAATGATCTTAAGACGACGGCCCATTGCCGGGAGGTCGCAGTTAAGGGGTTTCGAACCCTCTGGGCTTTAAAAAGGACATTCACTAAGCTTGATACTACCATGTTCACCACAGTATACACATCCTTAGTGAGAACTAAGTTAGAGAACTGTGTTCAGGCTGCAAGCCCCTGTTTAAAAGGTGACTCAGACATACTAGAAAAGGTACAGAGGGCAGCTACGCGTGCGATTCCGGAACTCCGGGGTTTATCATATGAAGAGCGGCTTGAAAAACTGAACCTCTTTACTCTGTCCTATCGCAGACTAAGGGGAGATCTAATATTGATGTACAGAATACTGAGAAATGATTTCGGACCTAACTTATTCTCTCTCTTTCTTCCCACTAGATCGGGACACCTCAGAGGACATAGTAGGCGAGTAGAAAAGCCAAGAACGAACAAAATACCTCTGGCATACAGGTTTTCACACCGAGTCATCAATACTTGGAACCTGCTGCCTGAAGCAGTGGTATCCGCACCTTCAATTGACTCTTTCAAGAGAAGACTGGACACTCACAGAAGCATACTAGAAAAGGAATAACATAGGCCGTAGGCCTTCTGTCCTTACTACACAAATCTGAAATCTGAAATCAGTTAGCGCGCTTCACGAGAGTTGCGTTTCGAATGTGCGACTGACGGTCAAGGATAGGTCCATTGAAGGTATGAACTTCTAGAAATCGCAACCTTATGTCCCTTTGGGATATCCAAGGCTTTAAGGATGGTGCAGGATGAAGTAACCCGTTCCATATCTCAAGGGGGCTGAAAGAGGGAGCAAGTAAAAGAAAACACGAGAGGCAGAGTAGCCAATATTCATGAAGGAATGTTTAAGGTATGATTACTCAGTCTAATTTTCTTTTATTAAGGTATTTGTTAAGAAAGAGCATTTTAATAGGTTAAAGAAAATAAGTGTTGGCAAGGTGTGAGTGGACATACAACTGACAAATGGAGGCGATTTGGAAAAGAGCTGAGAGTATAAGATTATGTGTGATTATAAAATAAAATATAGTGCTAGAAACAGTATTGTGATATACAACTGGCTATCTTCCTTTTATCATAGAAGCTATTAGAGCCCCTTTCGTTTTTTATTTGTTTTTTTTCAGGTTTTATAGGGTCTTGAGTAGGCTTCGTATATTAGCGAATTGTCTAGTTTGCTTTTAATAGGATTTCTGAGTAGGAAGTGAAACCAATTCAACGTTCGTAACACGATTTAAAGAGGTATTTTGCGTGATAGATCAGCTTCAATACCTTAAGTCCGTGACATCCCACTAAACCATAAGGAGGTCTTAGGTAGAATTTGGGAACTGGACGTAATCCCATCTGACTGGTCTCAATCACTGATTGTGCCAGTTTTTAAGAAAGGACAAAAGTCCTCTTGTGACAATCACAGAGGAATCAGTTTGACAATATAGTGTCTAAAATATTAGCCTCAATAATACTTCGACGCCTAACTAAAGCTCGTGAAGAGCAGACTAGAGAAAACCAGGCTGGTTTTCGACCTGGACGTGGTTGTATCGATCAGATATTCACACTACGTCAGGTTCTAGAACACAGACACACATTCAGACGCCCCACAATGGTAGTATTTCTCGACCTTAAGGCGGCATTCGACTCCGTTGATCGTGAGGTTCTATGGCAGTGTTTGTCACTAAAAGGAGTACCAAAGAAGTACATTAACCTTATAAAGGCTCTCTACTCGAACACAACTGGTAGAGTGAGAGCTTATGGCGAACTGTCATCAGAATTGATTACCTCAAGTGGTGTTCGTCAGGGCTGTCCACTCTCTCCATTCTTGTTCAACTTTGTCGTCGACGTACTTTTAGAGATAACACTCTCCTCATCTAAATTTACAGGGGTTGAACTTCTACCAGGAGGTTCACTTGTTGACTTAGAATATGCAGATGACATAGTTTTATTTGGTGAAGACGCTGACAAAATGCAGAGTCTTCTGACCACTCTAAGCAACAATGCAAGCATGTTCGGCATGCGATTCTCTCCCTCGAAATGCAAAATGTTGCTTCAGGATTGGGTTACATCGACACCAGAACTAGTGATAGGGAGTGAAGTAGTTGAGTGTGTCGACCGCTTCACTTATCTTGGAAGTCTCATCAGCCCTTGTGGTTTGGTGTGTGACGAAATCTCAGCACGGATACAGAAGGCTCGACTAGCTTTTGCCAACCTGCGTCATTTATGGCGTAGGCGAGATATCCGTCTATCAACCAAAGGACGTGTTTACTGCGCAGCAGTTCGTTCCGTCCTACTTTATGGCAGTGAAACATGGCCGGTAAGAGTAGAGGATATCCGTAGGTTACTAGTATTTGATCATAGGTGTCTTCGAAACATTGCTCATATATCATGGGACCATCGTGTAAGTAACACAGTTGTTAGGAAACGGGTACTAGGTAAGGATGGCAAATCAATTGATGAAGTAGTGAAACTTCATCAGTTGAGATGGCTGGGACACGTGTTACGTATGCCCAACGACCGACTGCCTCGACGTGCTATGTTCAGTGGTATAGGAGTAGGTTGGAAGAAAGCTAGGGGCGGCCAAACCAAAACATGGCACAAGTCCATGAAGTCACTGACAAGTGAACTGAGTCATGTTGGTAGGTGTAGACTACCTGGTTGGGGACCGCGAGATGACAGCAACCGATGGTTAGAGACCCTGAATGACATGGCTCAAAATCGTTTGCAATGGCGCAGGTGCATCCACTCTCTGTGTTCTCCCAAATTCTAATCTTCTGAATTCTTCATGTCCCTTTTTTCCTCTTCCCAAATTTCTTTCACTGGATTATACTCTTTAAATAACATCTCCAAACCCTAATCTTCCCAATTACTGCTTATACTCTTATTACCACTACCGGATTTGAATCGACAAGTGCATCTCTGTGCTAATGTGGTGTGGCAACTCGAACTGATGTACGTACGTACGAAGTTCTACGTTGTTACTGACTGACTGACTGACTGATAAGGAGCCGTAATTAAACAAAATGTTCTGCCCTACAGACATGGGTGGATTGAAGTTATCTCCCCACCTTCATGTTTGCTGGTCAGTAACGCCACCCTCCCTCCTTTTGTGATGTTAGGCTCTCTTACGTTTGTGGTAAGTATGATTAATGCTTTAATCAAAGCACATAGTTGGAATACACTGTCTCTACTAGGTCCATGTTACAAGCAAATCAGATATTTAAAAATTCTGTTTTATGGGTTAGATGTCCATATAGTATATCACACTGCTATGAAAATAACTAATGGTTTAAAGAAGTAAGGATTAATAGTAAATCAAAAGATTTGAGAGGGTATAAAATTGTAGAAAAAAGACTTTAGGGTGAGAAAAATAAAACATTGAGAAACTCACAAGACTTTGTGGCCAAATTTTGAGCTTTGAATGATCGGCCTTAGTAGATCAGCATCCATAAGATTGAGCTATCTGTCTACTTGCAGTAGAAAAAAAAGCATGACTTTTAGGAAGAATAATGTACATTTAACCTGTAGAGATTTGGGTACTGAAAGCTAGGGTTAGGAGCATGAAGTCATGATTAATAAACAACGAATAATAGGATAGGATAAGCCATATATCCTGTGATTTGGTTATATTCAGATTAGTAACAGTCGAACTTGTTATAATTTTGTTCTTTCTAGATACTAGGTCGTCCGTAATAAAGTGCCTCATTGGTGGGCGGGAGTTCAAGGAAATGTTGAAGCTCTTTGGAGTCTAGAAATAGGGTTATTAGCTTTTTGAATCTGGTAAATGTATCACAGTTACGGATAGGCATTGGCAGCCTGTTCCACAATAAACTGTACCGTACTGTAAAGAACTTACAACGCATTTGTTTTTGGTGTTTTACGGTGTGTAGTGTATATGCGTTGTTTCTAAGTCTATAGGCTGGGTCGTGGGTGATAGTCGGGCAGGAGGTTAGAAAGGAGAGCCCATATATCGCTTTGTAGAGAAATATTAAATTGTGTTTTAGCCTACGGTGCCATAAAGGTTCTAAAGATAGATGCTAACATCTGTCTGTGTAATCGAGATTCGAGTTACATCCTAGTAGTTGACGTGTGAAACGTCTTTGAACATCTTCTACTCTTATCTTGTCTGCGATATTCATATTAGAGAAGACAATAGAGCAGTTTTCAAGGGAGGGCCGTACACATATTTTGTAGAGAGTAAGTTTAGCCTCTGTTGTGAAAAAATTTCTCATTATGAAACCAATTAGTCGTCTAGATTTAGAAATAATAGGGGAGGCATGTTCTTCAAAGTTTAGGCTTCCTGTGTAATTAATGCCTAAATCATGTACTGATTCGAGTGTTTGGACTCTACATTCATTTAAGTGAAGTCGCGGTTTATAGGGATGCTTTCCAAAGTGCATGATCCCGCACTTGTTGAGATTAAATGGTAATTGCCATTTTTCACTCCATATAGTTAAGTTATTGAGGTCCTTTTGGATCTGGGATACACTTTGGCTTAGTGTCTCAGGCTTATAGCTGTATACTATTTTGAGATCATCAGCATATAAGTATGGTTTCCCAAATTCTATGGTGTTACATATATCGTTTATATACATAAGAAACAAAAGTGGCCCTAATACGCTTCCCTGGATGACTCCACTGGTGATTGGTCTAGGGGACGAGAGACAGTCATTGTACTTTACCATCTGTTTACGTTCTGTTAAGAACGAAGCAAACCATGAGTACAGTGGGTTGTGTATTCCGAAGGACTTTAGTTTGACGAGTAGCCTTTTGTGTGGGACCTTATCAAAGGCTTTCTTAAAGTCTAGGAATAGGACTGATACATGGAGTCCGCTGTCTCGTTTCAGAGTTATATCATTCAGGTAGTCTACTAGGCATGTATCGCATGATCTGGACCTAAGAAATCCATGCTGGGAGGTCGAGATGAGATTGTTAGTTAATAGATGTTGGACTACAGCCGCCTTAACTACTTTTTCCATCACTCTGGATACCACTGAAGTTATGTTTATAGGCCGGTAATTTTCAACGTTTGCTTCAGGTCCTGTTTTAATTTTGGTAATGATATGTGTAGTTTTCCAGGCAGTAGGGTAACACGCTGAAGAGAGTGATATCGCGAATAGTTTGAGAAGCAAAACACACATATCATCACCTCCACGTTTTAGCATGCTAGATGGAATACCATCTGGTCCATCAGTATAGGAGTGTTTCAATGTACTGATTGCCTTGGAGATATTTTGCACACTGAATTCTACATTAGTAATTTCACAGGGAGTTACTGGGATTGGTTCTGAATCATTAAATGGTTTTTCGTTAGTTAGTGAGAAACAAAAATGTTCACTGAATAATTCTGTGATAAGTTTGGGATCTTCGTATACTTGTTTGCCTTTAATGAATATACTCCCTCTCGATTTAGAGCGTTTAAGTTTATTTTGGAGTAGTATGGTGAGTGCAGAGGAGTTATTATTAAGTTCAACTGCACGTTTTTCCTGTGCTACTGCTTTTTGTTTACTTATTGCCTCTGTTCGGACAAGTATTTCTGTCATCGTTATTAAAGAGGAAAAGTCATTTAAGTTGTGGAATCGAGTACAATGTCTTTGAAGACGTCTTCTTGTACTGTTCGGTATATAGAGATCTTTGGAGAACGTAGGTTTACAGTATTCTAAAGGTGCGATGTTGTTGATGATACTTTTGATGTTGTGATAAAATATATTGGTTAATGTGTCGGTATTGTTTGAGGTAAAGAAAGTTCTCCAATCAGTGCTTCTTAGGTAATTGTGGAAGTTATTCCAATCAACCTTGCGATAGTTTCTACGAAGTGTTACGGTTTTACTTCTATCAGTTGTGGTTTTTACATTAAGGCTGCATATGACAATGTTATGATCACTACCTGGGAACTTTTTTCCAATATACAAAGTATTGGGGATGAGGCCACTGGTAAAGACTAAGTCTAAGATGTTTTGATGTCTGGTAGGGCTATCGACATACTGAGTCCATTGTCCAAGCTCTAGACATTCAATAAATGATTCATAACGTCTCGGTGCTTTGACTGGCAGCCAAGAAACTTCGGGCATGTTGAACTCACCAAAAATAGGCTTGGCTCTGAATGGAAAGGATGATGCTAGTGTGAATACCTCCGATAATACTGCTATTTCATCTATTGATGCGTTAGGTTGACGATAAACACAGCCGAGCAGTAAGGTAACGGAATTCGACGGCTTTAATACAATCCACACCGAATCCTTCCGTTTGTTTAGTTCAGGCATATCACATAGCAGTGAGTTCAGGCTAGAGTGAGCGTAAATAAGGCATCCTCCTCCTCGTCCATTCAATATATCGCTTCTATATAGGGAATAGTTATCTAGAGATATGCTTCGGTCGGAAATATTACTGTTAGTCCATGCTTCAGATATCATAATAACTGATGGTTGATATATGGATACAAACAGGGCTAAATCCGTCTTTTTGTTGCAGATCGGTCGATCGTTAATAAGACATATATTAAGCAAGTGGCCTACTAAGTTAAAATGGGTGAGGGTATTTCGGATAAAGTCGTCGTAACCCTCGCGAGTGTAAGATGAGTTTGGTGTGAGGGATTGGATGTTCTTCATTAGCTCGGTATTTTGATAGTTAAACTTATTGGGAGATGTATCAAATGAGCTGGTGAAGTTGATTGGGGAGTTTACCCAGGAGGAAAGGGTGGGAGTACTCTGTGATGGAAACTGTACGGAGGAAACAAATTTATGGTTTGCATGTGGTTTGAAATAACCTGGGCTATATGCTTCAACAGAGGTGTCACTAGGGGTCTTATTCCAAAAAAATCTTGTACAGGCCTACTGTGAAGTGTATGGTTATTTACAAAATAGTCTTGATGGTTAGACTCGTAGCCCCTGTTATGGCTATTTACGTTAGCGCGAGAGGGGTCTGCTACGCGTAACTGGGAGAAGTTGCGACTGTTGTTATACATGGGAGCCGTTGTTATGTGATGGGTCGGTACTAAAGGGTATGAGAAGTTTTCATTTTGAGAGTAATTACAGTTGCGATCCTGGGGAATGTAGGTAGGGTGTGGAGTGAGAAACCTATTATTACCGTTCTTATTTATGGTTTTAGGCTTCAGGGGGTGGTTTGGGTGGCCAGTTCTCTGGTAGTTTTCGTTAGTCTGCGTGTAAGAAGGCTTGCTACGTTGAAGCCCACCACCCTTTTTGCAACTTGGAGGTGTTGAAGGCAAGTTATACGATAGCAGCGGGGAGAACCTGTTCACTGTTCTTGGGATACCTATAGAGCAGTTGGGTTCAATCTTACGTGTTTCCCTATTCGGTATCATGAGTTTTGTCTTCCCACCCTTTATTTTCAGAGCAGGATTCTTTCGTTGCCTTTGTGAGATGAACTTACGTTCATTCAAGTCTACTTGTGGAATATCTTTAGGAGGACAAATTTTCAAGTGTATAGGCTTAGTTGGATGTGTGTTGTTACACGACTCACATTTTAGTACATTACTGAATGAACAGCTGGGATTAGTCATGTCGTTATGGTTTTTGGTGTCAGTTGGGGTCCGTATCTTATCCAAAGGTTTCTGATCTGTAGACTCATCTAGGTTAACAGAGTGATCAGCCGTATGTGGAGTGGTGTCATGCTTATTGTTCGTGTGTTTTAAACTATTTGCTGTGTTGCAAACTGTCTCTGGCTGATTATTAAATGTAACACTGTCATTCAATTCTATCGCTTCGCGTCTTCTTACACGACGTTGACAGGGCGTAAGGTCTGGAGTGACTTTTATATTTTTGTATGGAATTAGTGAGCTAATGTTTTTGCTCAAATCAATAAACTGCTTAGCATCGTTACAACAGCCAAACATAAACAAGAGGGGGCAAGTTGATCTGTCTGACTTTTTTCTAAGGCGGATGACTTTGCAGTTAACGTTCGGCATACCGCATGCTCTAAGGCAAATATCTCTTAACTTAGATGGGTGTGTGCGGTCGGGGAGGTTATACACAACTGCATTGAAGGAGGACATCACTCTCTTCGTCACTTCTTCAGCCACAAACTCCGAAATACACTCAGCTTTAGTGAGTTGCTCAAGATTTCTGTCTGTATCAAGGCCCCATATATGAGTGAGGGGTGCTAATTGCTCAAGTTTGCCGTAAATTTCGAATAGAGAGTTTTGTAGCTGTCGGATGTCATTACTATATCTATCAGTATTTTGGTGCGTATGAGGTGGACCATTGGACTCTTTAGTTTTTGAAATTTTAGATTTAGGCCTTGGTAGCACATACTGTCTAGTAGACTGTGCTGACCTTTCTATGCACGTAGGTATAGTGTCTTGTATGTCAACCAGTCTTACCGTTGGCA